GGTCTGTGTCTAGATTTTTTTTTTGCATATCTATATCTAGTTGTTCCAGCACCGTTTGTTAAGAAGACTGTCTTTGCTCTATTGTATTACCTTTGTTCCTTCGTCAAAGATCAGTTGCCTATATTTATGTGAGTCTATTTCTGGGCTCTGTATTCTGTTCCCCCAACCTATTTGCCTATGCTTTTATTAATACCACACTGTCTTGACTATGTAGCTTTATAGTAAGTCTCTAAGTCAGGTAGTGTCAGTCTTCCAACTTTGTTCTTTTTCTTCAATATTGTGTTGGCTATTCTGGGTCTTCAGCCTCTTTATATAAACTTTAGAATCAGTTTATTGACATCCACAAAATTATTTGCTGAGATTTTTATTGTGATTGTGTTGAATCTATAGAGCAAGTTAGGAAGAACCGATATCTTGACAATATTGAGTCTTCTTATCCATGAACATGGAATATCTCCATTTATTTAGCTCTTCTTTGATTTCATTCAATAGGGTTTTGTAGTTTTCCTCATCTAGATCTTGTACGTATTTTGTTAGATTTATACCTCAGTATTACCTTTTTTGAGTGCTAATGTAAATAATGTGTTTTTAATTTCAAATTCCACTTCTTTATTGCTGGTATATAGGAAAGCAATTGGTTTTTGTATGTTAACCTTGTATCCGGCAACCTTGCTATACTTGCTTATTAGTTCCAGGAGGTTTTTTGTTGATTATTTCAGATTTTCTACATAGAAAATTACCTCATCTGTGAACACAGACACTTTTATTTCTTCCTTCCCAATTTGCACACATTTTATTTCTTTTTTATCTTATTGCATTAGCAATGACTTCAACATGATGTTGAAAAGTAGTGGTGAGAGGGGACATTCTTGCGTTGTTCCTGGTCTTAGTGGGAAAGCTTCTAGTTTCTCACCATTAAATATATGTTAGCTGTCGGTTTCTGTAGATGTTCTGTATGAAGTTGAGGAAGTTTCCCTCTATTCCTAGTTTTCTGATAGATTTTATAGGAATGGGTGTTGGATTTTGTCAAATGCTTTTTCTGCATCTATTGACACGATCATGTGATTTTCTTTAGCCTGTTGATGTGATGGGTTACATTAATTGATTTTCAAATGTTGAGCCAAGCTTGCATAACTGGGATAAATCCCACTTGGTCATGGTGTAAAATTCTTTTTATACATTATTGGATTTGGTTTGGTAATATTTTGTTAAATATGTTTGCATCTATATTCATGAGAGATATCAGTCTGTGGTTTCCTTTTCTTGTAATGTCTTTGTCTGGTTTTGATATTGGGGTAATTCTGGCCTCATAAAATCAGTTAGGAAGTAATTCCTCTGCTTGTATCTTCTGGAAGAGATTATAGAGAATTGGTATAATTTCTTCCCTAAATGCTTGGTTGAATTCACCAGTGAACCCATCTGGGCATAATGTTTTTAAAACAAAATTTTAAAACAAATTTAAACAACCCTAAATCTACATTTTATTTATATTGAAATAAGCTTATTTCACTGAAATAAAAATTTACTTAGATTGAAATAAAATTTATTTTTCTCACTAAAAATAATAGTCATATTTTCTGTATTGTTCCTAAATAAACCACAAAACATTTATGTTTTGCAAGTTTTCCAGATCAAGAGGAAGAAGTAAATATAGTCATAGAAAGAAAGAAAGAAGGAAACAGATGAATCAGTTGTCAGTATCCATGTCCTCTGATTCTGGGTTGAGCATGATATGGAAGTATTTATCATATACCTGATAAAAAGCTTATGATACAGGCAGGTGTAGGCTCAAGAAAGTAATCTAAATAGCAACAACCAGATGTGAAACAACGATAGGCTCTTCTATTCGAACTTCAATTGTAACTTGTTCCTTTGGGTTCACTTGATAAAGACAAAACCTACACTGACACCGTTGTCTAAGGAGCTCACAGTTTTTCTCTCTTCCCTTACAGATTTTTTTTTTTTAAAGATTGGCACCTGAGCTAACAACTGTTGCCAATCTTTTTTTTTTTTCTTTTTTCGTTCTGCTTTTTCTCCCCCAAATCCCCCCAGTACATAGTTGTATATTTTTTAGCTGTAGGTCCTTCTAGTTGTGGGACGTGGGACACCTCCTCAGTGTGGCCTGATGAGTGGTGCCATGTCCGCGCCCGGAATCCGAACCAGTGAAACCCTGGGCCACCGCAGCAGAGCAGGCGAACTTAACCACTCGCCATGGGGCCGGCCCCCTCCTCACAGATTTTTAACATATACTTAAAACTTCAACTAGTCAAAGGTCGATTGTGAGAGACATTGTAACATTTTATAAAATGTATTCCTTCCTCCTACACATCCTCCAAATCTATTCCTTCAAAGAACTGATAACTCAATACAGTTGGATCCATAGTGATGATAAATGCTGTGTTTAAAATGACTTTAGACAATTCCAGAGTGCCAGTATCAGAGATCATGCAGAAATGAAATTTGGCACTTTCAGTACTATCTCCTGAAAGAATAGCTAAGTCTTCAAAGTGTGAGCATTAAAACAGTGGTTGTTTAAACAGATAGATTATCAATAGCTAATTTATTCAATTGGAGCCCTATAGGCAAAGAAATTTGGTAACTGGCCTATGTATACTTTACAGCTTTTCCCCTAAATATTAAACATAGGAGAAAACCTATTTTTAAACATTCCCTTAGGTATTTTTGAGAGTTTATGAATTATCTATAGGAAGCACCGCCTTAGATGTATAGATTTTGATATATATGTCTACAATAAATCCAGATCATGTTTTATATAAAAATTTTTGTTAAGCAAAACTAAGTTACTTGACCTTCAATCTGTCAAAGTGTTCCTCAGGTAAGCTTTGAGACTCATCCATTTTCATGGCACTTATTCTCAGCTTTCATCACAGGAATAGACAGGACCTTCAGCAATGCATAAACGTTAGGAAAAAACTAGAGGTCCGGCAGATGGAGGGCTTCATACGTGGTGGATGGAAGCTCTCTCTCTTTCCTTCTGTTTCTACTTGATTCTCCAACAGTGACACTGTGCTGGGAGTGTGTCAGGATTGGCTAAGTCATTTCTGTACAAGTCAGCCTGGTGTCCTTCTGATGTGTTGAATTTGAGCTGTTCCATGACAGACGGTACCAGAGATAAGCGTTTACGAGCTTTGGGGTGTTGTTCTGAGAATATATCGTTAAGTTCCTGAGTAATGTGCTCCGCTGTTGGAACACTTAGGGACTCTTTACAGTCATTTTCAGAGGTTGGTTGAGATTCCAGGTTACCTTGCTGAGCTCTGTGGAGTTTCCCAGGGAGTTTCATTTGAATATCAAATTTGGTTATCAAATTTATAGCTGCCTCAAATGAAATACATGGTAAGTTTTGATATTTTCCAGCACCTCATTAGTGAATGCAACACTGCAGTGAAGCTGCTGACTGCAAAGAAAACATCAAAGATTCGCCCCCCGGAGATTTTTTCCAAAGGCTCTTATAAAAGATAGGACAATTTTTTTAAGGTTAAGATAGGACATTCTCAAGTACAAAAATGAGATAAAAATTTGTTGATACACTGCAGAGGACACATGCTCTGCCAGCTATACAGTTATTCCATCTAATATTCGTGTCACTTATTTATACCTGAACATGAAACGAGTGCTTGCAGGAGAGCTATTAAAATTTCAAAAGCACCATGCCTGTCTGTCCATTGAGAATGACAAATTTCCTTCAGGTCATTACCCTTCATTATTCAGAGAAAAGAGGAATTACATTGTCAAGCTATAAAAGTGTTGTGGTAATTGAGGGATAAAAGAACAAACTTCTTCAGTTATTTCCAATGCAACAGATACTCCCACAACAGGCACTGGTTTTGCCAGTCACATATTTAAGGCACAGGAAGATCTGAGTATGGAGGCAGCTCAGGGATATTTCTCCAAAAGTCGAATCAGCAACTGTTTTTCTTTTTTTTTTTGAGGAATATTGGCCCTGAGCTAACATCCATGCCCATCATCCTCTGCTCAATATGTGGGACGCCAGCCACAGCATGGCTTGACAAGTGGTGCATAGGTCCCCACCTGGGATCCAAACCCCAGGCCGCAGAAGCAGAATGTGCAAACTTAACTGCTGCGCCACCGGGCCAGCCCCACACCTTTCATTTTCGAAGAAAACCTACTGGACGCAATATATGCCACGTTTGGTTACACGTTAGTGTACTCCACGTTTAGTTCCCACTTCTCAGTTATCATACAGTGAAATTGCACAACCAAAATTTCTGCATCAGCTTCATGAGGCAGGAAGCCCACAAATTCTTCTCTTGGGTACGAGATCATCAACAAACCTCACCAGCATGGGCTGGTGTTCTTCCCCTGCTGTGTCCACACATCGTTAGTGATCATGGAAGCGAAGTGTCTCTCTCTTCCCGGAGAGTTTCTTCCCAAAGGCAGCTCTCACAGATCTCTAGTCTGATTCTGCTATTTTCCAATGGAACAGGTTAATTTGTGTTGTCTCCAAGTGCTTTCTCAGGACCTTTTCACCAGAACTTATCCCACACTTCAGCAGTGCTTGAAAGCTATCAGGAGTAAAGAGAACTTAAGGGATTTCATCATTCTCATGTCCATTCAGAGGTAGGTTTTGTTTACTTAAGAATTGAAATTTCAAATAATGATTTTAGGTGTTGTTTTCCTTCTCCTCGAGAGATGCACATAAAAGGTCTTCATCCAGTTCTTCACCTCCTTCTTCTGCACTGGGGTTCTGAGCATCATTGTTATTTGTGTCCTTATATTTTTGTTCCTGTGCAGAAGTTCTGTCAGTTTTTTTTCTGTTTGTTTTTATGTTTCAGTGTCCTCATTGCATCTTCACTCAATTTTTAATTCATTTTCTGTGTCTATTATGCAGACTGTTCAGATGACTGATAAGGTAAATAACTGTCCTGTAAGGACTAGTTCTATAGATCATGTAACTGAGCAAAAAGGGGCTCGTTCTGCTCACTGCAACCTGGTGCCAATCAATTACAAACAAGCCGGTGGTTGAGAAAGGAAAATTTATACGATTAGTTAGCATAATCGGAAGATGGTCGACTAGTTTCCTAAAGAACCATCTTCAAATCATACGGAATCTTGAGGCAGTTATATAGGGGAAATGGGCAGGGAAGGAGGGGGTTAGGGATGTCGACCATCCAGTGTGATGAACTTCAAGGTACCACATAATCTCTTTCTTCTGTCATTCGTGATGGGTACCCACGCAGAATTTTTCTTTCTGGAGGTTGTCATGTTCCTGGAAAACTCAGAGAACAAAGTTGTTTTATCACAGCTGGGAGATATACGTAAGCAGAGTCATAGAACTAGCAGATCATGAATTCTGTAAAAGGGAGAGGTGCTTAATCATCTAGGCTACATGCAGGCTAGAATGTCTTCACAGAGACTAGTGAGTCAGGGTCAGAATTACTATATTGCTTCCTTTCCCTAAGATGTTAACTTAATGTTTCCCTCATGTTAACTTAAGATCCAGCTGTTACAATCATTGTGGGATCAAAGTGTTTGGCACATAACCAATAATGTTTTATCTTCTAAGTTTTATCTTTTAAGTCTGCTCTTCTGCAATTCTTCACCTACTTCTGCATCTGGTCAGTGGGCCTGGGGAACCTAAAGACCAGGCATGGCTCTTCCTCAAGCCGTTGGGGGCTGTGAAGGTGTTAGGTGTCCTCACCCCGCAGGTCCAGGTCTCCCTTTCCTGTCTTCTCAGGGTAGCCCACCCTCAGGTAGGGTTGGGGAGGAGAGCCAGGCCAGCACCGTCAACCTAGAATTCTGTAACAAACTGTGGATTAAATGTGAGAGTAGAAAAGACCTTTTCAGGCATGCAAACATTAAAAAAAAAAAATTGCCTCTCTGTAATTTTTTCTCTGTATCCTGGGGTAGGCAGGCTTCTAAGCTGACCACTAATGATCCTGCCTTTAAGGCTGGGCTGGACCTAGTGGCTTGCTTCTGATAAATAGAATAAGGCAAAAGTCATGGATATGACTTCTGAGATTAGGTTACAAAAAACTGACATGGTCTTGCTTGCATTCTCCCTCCCTCCCTCCCTCCCTCCCTCCCTCCCTCCCTCCCTCCCTCCCTCCCTCTCTCTCTCTCTCTCTCTCTCTCTCTCTCTCTCTCTCTCTCTCTCTCTCTCTCTCTCGCTTGTTCTGATGCAATGAGCTGTCATGTTATGGGCCACCTCAGGGAAAGGTCAATGTGGCAAGGAACTGAAAGAGGCCACTAGTCATTTAGTCCTGAGGAACTGAGGAGGTCAGTTCAGCAGGAAACACTGTATTACCAACAAGAATAGCCACTACCTCCCCCAGTAGTAATTCCCTAGTATGTCTTCTAAGAGAGGAAGAAGAAAGAACATCATGTAGACAGTTCTATTTCTAATCCAGTGGTTCTCAACTGCGGGCTATTTTGCCCTCCCCCCACCCCCCCCCCGCAAGACATTTGACAATGTCTGGAGACATTTTTGATTGCCATGACTTGTGGGGTTGGGGGCACTACTAGCATCTAGTGAGGAGAGGCCAAGGATGCTACTAAACATCCTACCATGCACAGGACAGCCCCACAACAAAGAATTATCTTATCCAAAATATCAATAGGGCCAAAGCTGTGAGAAATCTTGTTCTAACCTGATAGTATGGTTCTTCAACTTGATGTCCCACCTGTAGGTAGTTTGCCATGTACTTTATGTTTGTTAAGGCTGGCAAAGTGTAGAATATTGCTGGATGGCAACTAGTTGCAAGAATTTAACCATGGGAGGCTAATAGGGGTACTGGCAGTGAGACCTGTCAGCTATGACAGGTGAGTGCAAGAATGGAGCCATAATTTCAGGAAGGAATACCATTTCTTAATGGCTTCCTTCCTGTGATATTGTGAATTATAATAATTATATTTGGTCTTTGTCCTCATTTCTAGCACAGAGCTTCTAAAACACTTGGAATTTCCTTAGTGGTAAGAGAGATCGTGGTACCTTTTGTTATGTTAATAAGGTAACTTTTGGAATGCCCCTAGGTCACCTAAGGATGGGGTCTGGTTGCCAGGGGAACCAACCTTATGACTGGAGGGCTGGAACTTTCAATCCTACCCCCAGACCTCCGAGGGGAGCCGGAGGTTGAATTGACTATGAATGGTGAATGATTTAGTCAATCATGCCTATGTAACGAAGTCTCCATAAAAACCCAAAAGGACAGCATTGGGAGAGCTGGGTTGGTGAACACATGGAGGTGCTGGAAGAGTGGTGTGCCCAGATAGGGCCTCCGCATGTCCTCCCACATACCTTGCCCTCTACATCTCTTCCATCTGGATGTTCATCTGTATCTTTTATCATAACCTTTTATAATAAATTGGTAAACATAAGTAAATGTTTCCCTGAGTTCTGTGAACCGCTCTAGCTAATAAGTCAAATCCAAAGGGATGAGAAGTCATGGGAACCACTGACTTACAGCCAGTCAGTCAGAAGTACAGGTAACAAGCTGGACTTGCGACTGGTATCTGAAGTCCAAGGAAGGGGGTCTTTGGAACCTCCAATCTATAGCTGATTGGTCAGAAGCACAGGAAACAACCTGGGCTTGCGATTGGCTTCTGAAGCCAAGGGCAGTCTCATAGGACTGAGCCCTTTACCTTTGGGATCTGGTGCTATCTGCAGGGAGCTAGGGTCAGAATTGAGTTGAATTGTAGGACACCCAGGGGTGTCCCGAGTGTTGCATGGTGGTGTAGGGGGAAACACACACACAGACACACACACACAGCCACGTCAGAACTGATCTTAAAACCATGCTCCTTCCCTGGAGAAGTCCCTGCAGCTATGCTCCAGTAACTCTTGCAGTATTTCTGATGAATTTTTAGTCTTTCTTTTAAATGCTTGTTCTATGTTGGCGGCTTAAGATTATACCCTTATCCCATGCCTGCTTTTTGTCTCTGCTGTGCCAGACTTGATTTTATTTGTGTCTCAGAGTAATGCTTTCAGATTTGCTTGAATCTAAACTCTGTACTTCTTAGGACAATCCCAATACGTCCCATATCTGACACAGCCTCCCAGAACCCCAGCACAAAGATGACACTACAGGGCTTTGCTCGTTCAGGAGGGGAGTTTAAACACTTATAACAAATTGTTACCAATTTGTTAATCCATGTATTCATGAAGTTCAGCATTAGCGAATAGTAGGTTAGATTTTACAATAATTTACGTGCAATTAATAGCATAGATCACACTACTTAAAGTTAGAAAGATTTTCTAGTAAACATTAGCTTAATAAATTTTTAGTACTACCTACGAGGTGTCTAAAAGCATAGCATAGAGGAGCATTCAATATTCTACAATACGTAGAAACTGGTTTGGCCCATTGAACTAAATTAGCTGATCCTAATTGCTCACTATTTTCAATCAAATAAATATTTAATGACTAGTTGGTAACTAGTCCCAGATTTGTTATATCAAACAGCCATAAAGCCATTGTTGTAGAATAATCCCAAATTGATGGGCAACTATATGTTTCATGTAGTACTCTAGAATTTATATTATTTATATGAACAGGATATTATAAGTTCCTTTAAATTTATTACTTACAAGCATAAATTGTTTTTCGAAAAAAAGAGCATATTTTCCATTGAATTCTCCAACTCCTGTTTTCTTTTCTAAAATTTTTAGCCTTCCACATGTGCTCTTAGAGTTTTCTTAGTTAGCCTCTGCTCCAGCCATCTCTTGCTACATAGCAAACCACCTCTAAACCTAGCAGCACGAAAACAACAGCAGTTTTATATCCTCACAGAATTCAGATAGGGTGTGGTAGGGATGTGTTGTCTCTGCTCTGCTGTGTTCAGGGCCTCTGCCAGGAAGACTCAATGCTGAGGGGTGACTTGAAAGACTGGAAACTGGAATCATCTGGAGGCCTCTTCACTCACATGCCAGGACCTGGGCTGGGATGACATGAAGGCTGGGCTCAGCCAAGGCTGTTGACCAGACCACCTACATGGGGTCTCTCTCACTGGCTTGGGCTTCTCCCAGGATGGTCCCTAGGTTCCGAGAGGGAGCTTCCTAAGAGTGAGTGTTCCAGCAGACACACACAGAAGCTTCAGGGCCTTTTATGACCTAGCCTCAGAAGTCATATTGTGTCATTTCTTCCATACTCTATTGCAAGGATTGTAAACTATGGTCTCATGCCAAATCCAGTCGGCCACCTGTCTTTGTAAAGAAAGTGTTGCTGGAACACAGCCGTGTCTGCTTGTTTACATACCGTCTATGGCTGCTTTGCAGTCAAGTAGTTGCAACAGAGACCGTGTGGTCTGCAAAGCCTAAAATATTTACTGTCTGGCTCTTTATAGAAAAGGTTGGCCAGGGCCAGCCTTGAGGCATAGTGATTAAGTTTGCATGCTCTGCTTCGGTGGCCTGAGGTTCATGGGTTTAGTTCCCAGGCACGGATCCACACGCTGCTTGCTCATCAGGCCATGCTGTGGCAGCATCCCACATACAAAATAGAGGAAGGTTGGCACAGATGTTAGCTCAGGGCCAATCTTCCTCACAAAAAAAAGAAAAAAAATTTAAGAAAAAATTTTTTAACAAAAGAAAGAAAATACTTGCCGAGCCTTGCTCTGTTGGTTAAAGCAATCACAAGCCTGCTCGGTGTCAAGGGAGGGACTAGACCCCACTCTTAGTGGGAGGTGTGTCAAAGAAGATGCAGCCATTAAAAAATCTCCTTAGCACCTGTTTGCCTCTCAGATTTTAATCCTTCTTTGGTTTTTAATTTTGTAAGCTATGTAAACTAGCTTTCTAACTATTTGAATGTATGCTAAAGTTTGTTAGAAAAAGTTAGTGGGATTCAACCACGTTATTTCAAGTTTTATTCCTTTGCAATTTGCCTCTGTCAGCTCCTGTGGGTAAATATTTGGCTGGTAATTCTTTCAGAGAAAGGTTAGAAAGGTTAACCCGTGTTTACAGAGTTAATACCAGTGATAAAAAAAGACCTTTAGCTCCAGAAAAAAAAAACAAAAAAAAGGTAAACAATTGTCCAAACAGTTAAGCTTCACTTGGTCAACAAGTTTCAGGTTTTAGAAGTCATTACTTACTTATTTATGAAAAAATTTGTACTTAAATATGCTATATTGGTCCCGTTTTCATTAAACCCCCAATCTGCTCATCTATAGAATGAGGGGTTGGGTAGGCAGTGGTTCTTAGCCCTGGCTATGTATTCAAGTCATGGGGAGCCCAAGTCCCTAGCCTAGATATTTAAATCAGAATGTCTGGAGATGAGGCCCCCAAGAGTTTTGAAAGTTCCTCAGATCATTATTATATATATATATATATTTCTTTTTGGTAAGGAAGATTGGCCCCAAGCTAACATCTGTTGCTAATCCTCAGATGGTTTTAATATACAGCTAGGGCAGAGAAATGTGTGGTTAGGTGATTGCAGGCTCCTTTATAGACAGTAAAATTCTCTTGTTCTGTGATTGTAAAGGAGATACAAAACGGAAAATTTTCCCATGTTTTTTGCTTATGCTGCTGAGAAAATTATTTGGAATGAAAGTTGTATTTGTCTTAATATGATAACCAGCATGATTTCAATATCTCACAGTTATTTGGACTATCTGATTTAGTATAAACCTAAGTCAAATATTTTGATTATCAGATATTTTGTGCCCTGCTGATTCTGTCATTTAACATTATTCATTTGCTGAAGCAGACCTAAAATTTGTTTGTTAATGAACATGCTAGTATGACCCCCCTTTCAGAATGATATTGACAAACATCTGCTAATATGTATTAACACAGTATTTCTCAAACTTAAGTGTGCACATGAATAACTTGGGGAATCTTGTTAAAATGTAGATTCTGATTCAATAAGTCTGGGGGGTAAGAATCCGGCCTAAGAATCTGCATTTCTAACAAGTTCCCAAATGGTACCTATGCTTTCCATCCTTCATCCACGCACTACACTTTGAGTAGCAAGATATTAACATAGCCGGCCAGACTGGCTAGTGTAACTTAGAATTGCAAGTTTAGGTCAGAATTGATTGAGAAAAAGAATGGAGCCACAGGAAAAAAGAGCAGTGTTAGAGGCATTTTAAAATTTATTATACTGTGCACGATGGCACTTTTTTTACTTTTTAAAGAAATAACCCTCTGAGAAAACTATGGAACTCTGTTGCTGGTTCTTCCCACAGGTTTTACCAGTAAATATTTTCTTCAGCTGTGTGATAATCTGTCCTCTACAATGTAGGCCTCACGCAGTGGCTAATCAGCGGCTGAGAGCTCACTTCTCAGAGACAGGATGGTATAGTGGCATATGCATTAGACTGGAGCTTACTGGACCTGGGTTCTTGCCTTTATCACTTTTTGACTGTGTGACCTTGAGCAGGTCAGTTAATCTCGTTGAGCCTCAGGTTTGTCTTTAAATCTAGGCTAATAATCCCTGTCTACCATACAGGGTATTAAAAAGAGCAAATAAGAACATTGTGAAAGTGCTTTGTAAATTGCAAAGTGACTTATACATGTAAGTTATTGTTATTATTGTTCACAGGGTATTCTTGACTCTAGACCCACATCCAAAAACACCTTGGCTTTTAAGACTATTGACCTTCAACTATCTTTACTAGTAGAAGGAGCGTTAACAAGAATTAGATGATAAACAATTTTTCTCGTTTTGGAATGGCCTGGGTTCAAAGAATAAAAAGATGGAGTTTTAAGAGAGTCAGGAAAGAAAGTCTGCAGAAAGAATCCTAGGGGGAAATGGTGGTAAATTCAGGCTCTGTTACTCATCCTCCTAGGTACTTGACTGTGTCTAGCATTGGGAGCATCAGTGATGTTGATGGGAAGGCCTATAAAACTGATTGTGATTAAAAGCCAATTTTGAATTAAAAAAATGAAAGGAAATGGGTTTCTCTGATTCTTTCAAGGAACTCAGTTTAGGGAAATGGTTAACACCATGTCTTTCCTTCACTCTCTAGAGTGTTTGCTGCAGACTGATGATTTACTATCATAGAGCAAAGAGGCTTGGCTTTCATTACAATATGGGAATAAAAATATTAATTTAGAAAAAAACGAATTCAGCTTCTGTGGTTGGATAAAACGTCTATCTGATGAGATAGTTAAGTTCATAAATGACCTCAGGGTGATAATCTGCAAGTGGAAGATTGAATTAACTCCATGTGTTAATGGCAATGAAGCATTTTCCCCTGAGCTGGTTCAAGTAGCCATCTGTGCACTGGGGAACCTTAGGAAAGACCTGAGAAGGAGCCCCATAAAAAGTAAATTCCAGGGAGACTGACTAAAGCAAAACTAGTGACCCGATCAGTAGACTGACCCATAGCGTACCAGTATGTAGTTCTAGGAAATAATTTAAGTAGGAAGGAAAAGACATTTTTATTGTGTTTATTTTGCTGTCTTGCTTGCAGACTACCCAGTTAATGTAGGTTACTTTGGGCACAGTAGCCACAGAAACTCTGTGTGGCAGGAAACATTTTTTGTGAGTATATTAGTGGCATATATCTTTTTCATTATGTGACCTCAGATATTTTCATAAACATGTCTTAGAGTCCTCAAAGCTCTGCTGGGTGTAGAAGGTTTCTCAACAACTTTCTTGTAACTTTCCACAATGATAGAAATTCATCCTTGCTTTTCAGTTCACTTGGGGCCTTCCTGATGGTTGACTACCTAATTCTCCAAACTCAAGTTCCCACGTTAAAATAACTTGCTCCTTCTACTTCTGGGGTTGTTTCATGAGCAGTGTAGCCAGTGTTCTTTAATTTGCTTCTGCCCACACCGTGATCCCGATTATCTTTCTTGTTTGCAGATGGAGGCACTTCTAACTCATCCATACACGGCAGACTGTTGCTCTCTGAAATCCATGCCTTTGTGACTGGGGACTTTGCTTCCACTGCAAGAAGTGTGCTGGATGTCTACATGTCTGTTGTTAAGGCTTTGGCAAAAGCCAGAGCACCAGACAATGATCCACTGAGGAAATGTAAGCTTTTAATATAGCATATTAGACATGTAATACGGTTATTTGCCTGTCCCTTCCAGAGTATTGAATCTGGAAGATGATCTTCGCATTTTCTTACTGGTTTTAATAAGCACTTTGGTCCTTTAGGGAAGACCAAGGTAAAAGAATGAGAACTCCAGGGGAATTTCCCGTTGAATTCCTAGAACACAAGTACCCTAAATATGGTATTCTTTTGATCCAGCCTAATTTATCCCTGGGAACATTATCTGAATATGAATAACTATTTTCAAGGCAGTCTAACTTTCCAGTACAGTATGTTCCGGAAGCCACCATTATAAGGATGTTAAGGAATCCTTTCAGTGTACTTGTCCTGCCATCCTGTCCTAATCTTGGGGGGAGGTTGGGGAGTGCTAGTCTGTCCACAAACTTTAGGGTGTCTAAGGGATCTCTTATGCCTTCAGGATAGACCCAGAAAATAAGCCTTTGGGTGAGATGTTCGCTTTAATCTTGTGTTAGCTACTAAGGAGAATTCCAGTGGCAGAGTTTTGCTCTAGCCATCTGAGCATTTCTTTTTCCTGTAAAGAATTCCAGGCCATTCCAGTTTAGCTCAGAATATGTGGAGCTTAACTGAAGTAAAAGCAGACCTTTCTTGGAGTAGCTGGGCTAGAATAATTCCAGCTCATCCCTACCTCTGTCATCCTGCATCTTCCAAAGTTTCCCTGAGGTTCAAATGTGGGTTACTCAGGGACCTACATACTCCCCAGGGATGCCAAAAGATTCAGATGCCATTGTAGCAGTGCTTATCTGATACAAGTAATATTTCTTTAATTCCACCAGTTAAATTTTACCAGAATTAAGAGAATAAACAAGCATCACTATGTACCGTAATGGGGACTAATATTCCTACTGTCTAAAATGAAGTTTAGTTCTTGCTTGATATGCCAACACTAGGAATGATACAACAAGACTCCAATGTGGTTACAGGAAATACGTCAAGAAAATACATTGGGATAATATCTTTTAAAGTTTATGAGTTTCTTTCTCCTCTAATATTTACTGAACTCAATGCCAATTTGTACTCAGGAGTCATCCTAGACATAGTAGTGGGAGACAGAGCATTCTCATCAACCAGGAAAGTTAGCGTAATAAAGAAATCCCTGTTACGCTGACCTTGCCAATTGGCTCCTCATCTTTGCTTGCTGCCTCTAGAATGGCTGCACCTTGAGCCTTTGCCTTATCGAAACTGATCTACCCAGAACTGGAAGAGTCCAATTTTTGGAAGGATAAAAATTAGACAAATGGTAAAGGAATAAAATAAATTAGCTTCCACATTCCATTTCACATTGCTATCCCATTATAATAAAAACGTTTTTTCTTGACACATCCCCTCTGACATTTTACTATATTCATCTTTGGGTGGAGTTTTTTCTTTCTCATTCTTTCTGGAATAATCTTCTTTCTTGTCAGACACAATGGACAGACACTTGGCCGTGAAGTCTACTGCTATTTTTCCCCCCCAAATTTCCCTGTGTAGGGTATTG